GCAGTAACATTTCCTCTGTTTTTAATATCTTTATTTACTTCTGTGTCTCCTTAGTTACGGCATAACTCAGGACTATTGTTACATTAACTTAAGATAAAAAATAACTTCAAAATAAACTCATAAACCTAAATATACACTCAAATATACACATTCTGTATCTCATTATTCATCACATTCTTGTCTCTTTTTTACATTTTTTTTATTTTTTATTTGAATTTTTCTGCTTCATTCAGACTTTATTTGTACTAAATGTTGTACTTTACTTGATAAAGTATAAAATACATTTTTACTAGTAGTAGCAACTCACATTCTGTATCACTACAAATAAAATCAGTCATTTACAGAGACTTTGTTAAAGAATACAGTGCTAAACTTTGCTGTAAACGTCCTACAAAAAGCGACTTATAGCTGCTTTTTAGTCCAATTGTTTAGTTGGAAACCAGGAAAAAGAGATATTTATTATTTCTTTAGTCCATTCTCTATTATCATGTTGCAAAACTTCAGATTTTTCACCAGTTATTTTGCAACACAGAGGAAAAGATTGTAGAGTTAAACTGTAAACGTCCTACAAAAAGCGTCCCATAGCTGCTTTTTAGCCAGATAATTTAGTTGGAAACCAGGAAAAATAGACATTTAAATAAGTAGTTATACCCCATTTTTATCAAGCTTCGCAGCAGTAAATTTCCTCAGTTTTTAATATCTTTATTTACCTCTGTGTCTCCTTAGTTACGGGATAGCTCAGGACTATTATTACATTAACTTAAGATAAAAAATAACTTCAAAATAAACTAATATACTTAAATATACACTCAAATATACACATTCTGCATCTCGTTATTCATCACATTCTTGTCTCTTTTTTCAATTTTTATTTTTTTATTTGAATTTTTTTGCTTCATTCAGACTTTATTTGTGCTAAATGTTGTACTTTACTTGATAAAGTATAAATAAATCACTCCAAAGAAAATCAGTCATTTACAGAGACTTTGTTAAAGAATACAGTGCTAAACTTAGCTGTAAACGTCCTACAAAAAGCGGCTTATAGCTGCTTTTTAGTCCAATTCTTTAGTTGGAAACCAGGAAAAACAGATATTTAAATAAGTATTTATACCCCATTTGTATAAAGCTTCCCAGCAGTAACATTTCCTCTGTTTTTATTATCTTTATTTTCTTCCGTCTCTCCTTAGTTACGGCATAAATCAGGACTATTGTTACATTAACTTAAGATAAAAAATAACTTCAAAATAAACTAATATACTTAAATATACACTCAAATATACACATTCTGCATCTCGTTATGCATCACATTCTTGTCTTTTTTTTATTTTTAATTAGAATTTTTTTGTTTCATTCAGACTTTATTTGTACAATGTGTTGTACTTGATAAAATATATAATAAATGGACCGGAGCCAGGACACTCTATCTCCCCTTTTAAACCAATGTTTCCAAGCCGTTTACAAAATAAAAAAATTATGTATTTTCAAGCAGAAACTATTATTTTACTTACTGCTGATCTTACTT